CAGCTCCTTATACTACAGCAGCCATATCTAATTTTTGAAATTATATGGAAGGTGAGGGAAGGGACCTTGAAGTTATATGGAGACTAAGGCATGGATTTTCAACATATCTGTTTATCCACTGAATGAGTATTTACTTTATTAACTCATCAAAAATAAATAATCCAAAAGCCGATGGTAATAATCACATTTGTCTGTTGGTCAAGAAAACCAGGATGTGAATTTACATCCAAATGCAAATCTAAAATAGGAATCTGCATTTCAGGTAGATACAAGGCTGTCCTCCCAAGCAGTGGAATAGTTGTTTTTTGTATAACTTTTTCCAATATTTCCAGTAATTTTCAATATTTTCAGTAATTTTCAATATATTTATTTATTTTGCATTAATATTAACTGCCATATTAACAGTATTCCATCATAATTATTAATTATTGTGTTCTATCTAGCAGTCATTTTGAAGAAATACAACATTTTTACAGCTAATGGAAAACTTTAACGTCCTTGATACATAACACACTAAGACTGTAAACAGTGATAGTCAATTTTGAGCATTATCGCTGCTATAAGGCTGTGAATTTTATTTTGATGAACAAACTATATTTTAAAAATTGTCTTTCCTTTTTATTGAGTGCAGGAGGAAAAAAGCTAAAGATTACAAACCCTGTAATAGAAAACAAATTATTGTTTGCTTTTAAGATTACAGCATATTAGTATTTATTGTTCATTAGTCCTATAGAGAACACATTAGGTACTGTGCAGTAGCATACTATAATACATTCTGCCTGTCTGAAGCGGCGTTGTAGTTGTGCTTCCTATGTGGTATGTTCAGTCTGTGAAGAGACAAATACCATGTAGAAAACACTTTGCAGTAGCATACTATAATACATTCTGCCTGTCTGAAGTGGCGTTGTAGTTGTGCTTCCTACATGGTATGTTCAGTCTATGAAGAGACAAATATCATGTAGAAAACAAAAATTTTTTTGTGTGTGATTAGCACCATATAATATTTGTGAGTCTCTGTAATTCTTGCTTAACATGTTTTGAAATCACAGACAATACACATGAAGAATACAGATCTATTGTGCTCTATTTAAGTTGCGATATAGGCCTCTTTACCGTTGTATCTAAATTCCTTCCCAAGTATTATCTACTATTTGAGTTTTTTCTTTTATTTTTTTTTCCCCCAGGGAAAACTATGTTGAAAAAACACCAGCACACCTTTCTGTGTGCCTTTCCTTACATTAGTGGCGTTGTTGCAGCGCTAGAAAGTCAGGGATGTTTGTCACCGTTCTTTATCCTTGTAGGATGTTCCATGGTCTTTGCATACACAGAAGAAAGCACATGCTGCCTGTGCAGTCCAGCTTTTCCCGTTTTGAGGACATTTCTCCTGTACTTCAGAAGCACTGTGTTTGTCTTTCTGTCAGAGCTTTGAGTGATTTTGTTACCATTCTCGACCTGAAGCATCTATTACTGTGAGAACTGGAGAGGGAAAAGGGGGACCTTGGATGTGGCATGGTATTGTATGGGGGAAAAAATATGATTTATGGAGTCCTTTGCTGCTGAGGAAATTGTCCACTGCTCTGTGCGGTAGTTAGAATTTCCTAAAGCTGGCAGCTCTGCATCATCTTTGACATAATAGCACCCTAACTGTAGTGGGATTAATCTCTTCTAGCTTCAGACATCTACTCTCTTGACCTCTATATCAGAGCTAGTCATCATAAGCTCCCCTGGAGGAAGGTAGCCCTTAATAAACTTTGTAGGCTACTTACCTGGGGGTAGAAGTCCATTTTCTCATTTTACCCGACAAATACCTAGTGCATTTTTTCCAGTCCACAATCAAACCATTTTTGCATTTTCTTCTGGAGTATAGAAAAGGGGAAAACTTCCTTTATGGGTACAAAGCCTAGCAAATTAGCTAATCAAAGAATGAGAGCTGACATCGTCATGGGCTTTAATAAGCTTAGTTTCTGCTGGTGGTGACTTTGGTAGAGCCACCCTAAGGAACTGGCCTTTCCTGCTCATTTTATCGCTCCTTGCACAACCAAGCAGTTTCAGTGCAGTTCTAATATGAGTTTGCTGCTGCTTTTTGCTTTGAGCTTATCAGAAAAAGTGTGATGATGAACAATCATGGTTCATTTTCTTTCTTTCTATCCCGACATCTTCAAGGCAGGGCAGGCTGACAGAGCACAAATGTACAGTGATCCTTCAAGGTGTGTGGTAGTCTTGGGCGCTCTATTTCTGCCACGTCTGTTGTTCAAAGTGAAGAGAGTGGGGTTAGGCAGATGTGTCAGTGCATCTGGGTAGTATACTGCCGTTGCAGAAGATGCTGTGTGAGCATTTTCCTTAGTAGATACCAAGCGAAGAACTGGGAATGAGCTGATACTTTGCATGCAATAATGTACTTTTTTTTTAAATAACTTTTCGGGGTATCATTGCTTTCAAGACATGCAAATACAGTCATATACATTAGAAGACGTACAGACAGGGTTTTTTTTTAATTTAAAGTTAAGGTGAAATAAGAAGTGAAGGTTAATTGAGAAAGCACTAACGAAATTTGTACCCTAATTAGAGGATGTATTTCGGAAGTTTGTCTTTCGGTCAAGACACTGAAAGTTCTTGATGTTTGCTGGATGTGGCTGTTTCTGTGTGCAATTTGTAAACTTTTTTCTCTGTTGTTCCCTGCCATAGTAAATTTTAGTTAAATAAACAAATAAAATGGCAGACTGTTATTGCTTGTGTTGTTACATATGTTTTACTTCGCTAGTTAATAACTCCATTCATTAGCTGTTAACATGTATTTTATCTCAAGCCAAAGGAAAAAGGAGCCTAGCCTAAAGCTGTCTTCTGCTCACATGTTCAGTAGCTTCTCTCCTATTTTAGGGCTCGCCGATTCACTGTGCAGTGCCACCCCGTCTCTTTATTTCTGTTTTGCATTATTTTGTGTATGTATTGTGCATTTATACATAGTGAGCTTTTGGTGTACTGCTCATGTGTCCACAGCTTTTATAATCCCCAATTTCTTGACATTATAGAAACCATTATAGAAGGCAAACACATAGCAGATTTTGAACATTAATAGAAGCAAACTTTAATTAAGGCGAAACGGAGCCGGTAGAGGATATTCGTTCTAATGCATCAGTGTCAGAAAATTGGTTGCAGAGAACATGAGGAGAGATGCAGTCTTCCTGACGTGCTAGTGGGAGCGAGGCAGCTGCACCCAGTGTAGCATGTACCTCGTTCAGCGATGAGCAGAGATGATTAGTCCTACTGAAGAAAGCTTCCGACAAAGAGGTCAGAGTGCATTCTCCTGAGCAGTCGTGTTGGATTTGAGTTTTGAAGAATGAGCTTCCTTCCAGGCAGTTCCACATGGGCTCCTTTCTCCCATCACCGGGCCCTTTTGTTTCCAAAGGTCTCCTATGGGTTTCCTAAAACAGGAACAACTTGTCCTTGATATCTATAATGATTTATTTTTCTAAGCAATTAAAATTGATTTCTTAAAGCTATGGCAGCTCCCTCATTAAAGAGAATGAATCACTGAATAAAAAATGCAAAGGCTCTGAGTGTGAAAGGCATGCTCAAGTTTCATTTGATTTCAAGGAAAGGCTGTAGGGCTTGAGAGAAGCAGGGCAGGATCAGTGCCCGAAATTGGGTTGTCTCCACACGAAACCCATTACGAGAATGGACCGTTCCCAACAGCCGTACTTAGAAAGCCTGAGCATCCTTTTCCCAAACAAGCAGCAAGCCTGAGGGGTTTTGCATCACCAGCTTGTAGAACCAGATGCAAATGTAGGTATCCTGTGGCTTGCACACCTGCTGCTAAATACTTAAATGTGTTTGGAGATCACATAAATTTCTTAGTGTTTTGTGAAGAGTTTCATGAAGAGTTTTATCGTTTAGAGCACTTCTGTAATTTGAAAATCAGAGTTTTAATGGCCTGTACTTACCATCTCATTTTTTTTCATTGTTAAATATGGCAATATTATCACACCTAAAACCAGTGTTTTCTTTAATTCTAAACATTAATTTCCATATATAAGAAAGTATTATTTTCAGAAGTTCACCTTTTTTATTTCATGCATAAAAACAGGCTTTCTAAAAATGACTTCTTACTTTGTTTTAATAATACCATGAAGTTAATGAATGAGGCCTATTGTCTAAGACTTTCGTGTTTTGATATAACGTTATTACAACATGACCGAGTCAAATTAGCAAATCTGAAATGAAATAAAGTTCTAAAATGTATTGTCTAAGACTTTCAAAGTGTTTTGATATAACGTTATTACAACATGACCGAGACAAATTAGCAAATTCTGAAATGAAATAAAGTATTCTAAAATGGATGTTTTAGGCTTCTGTATCCATGTTTAGGCTCTTATGCTAGTGTTCACAGCTCTTAGCAGACACCATGAACCTTAACTGACAAAGTTATGAAAACAAAACATTGATTTTACTGCAATTTACTGTTCTTCTAACTACCGATGTAGCCTGTTGATGAGAAAATCTTTATGTCACTGCAAGATGCAGTCTCACAGAAAGGCACATGTATGGACAACATCTTTGCAGCTTATTTTTCAGATACAATTTTGCATACTACTTCAAAATACTGTGAATGCTTTTCCATTCATCTATCAGTTTTAGAAATGGGGAAGATGGCAGTATTTACCTATTACCTCGCTTATCATTCCACAAACATCATATCAGGTAGTTGTCAGGGGGACTAAATGAAAGAAATGGAGGAGCAGGACAAAACATACCAATAATAGCTTAATTTCTTAAGATTTGAAATGCTCCCTTAGACTAGAGTGATACTTGAATTATTAGAATTATTTAATAAGTGATAGGAGTAGTTAATGTTTTTATTAAGCTTTTTTTTTTTCGAAAAAAATATTTAAAATTAAAGTAAGCCAACAGCAAAATAAGCTAGTGACAGGGAAAAGAAATATTTTTCTAGTTGCGCCAAGTATGATTGACTGTTGTGCTTCTCTTTTTTTCCTCACCAGGATTACACTTTGACTATGTATTTTCAACAGTACTGGAGAGATAAGAGGCTGGCTTACGCTGGCATACCTCTCAACCTCACGCTTGATAACCGAGTGGCCGATCAACTCTGGGTGCCTGACACTTACTTCTTAAATGACAAGAAATCATTTGTGCATGGCGTTACCGTGAAGAATCGAATGATTCGCCTTCACCCGGACGGAACGGTGCTTTACGGCCTCAGGTCTGTACTTCCATGATGAAGATTTAATCACTGTCGTTATGTATTGTTGATATTTGTTTCCTGGTACAAGGTTATTACAAACATTGGGTAGTGTATTATGTAACCTTCCCTGTAACTCGGAAAGATGCCCATAGAAAACAAATTACACACTCAATGTTTCTTAATTTTGCCAGAAGCACCTTCAGCCAGGTTTTATCTGCTTCTGTAGAGTCATCATATCTCTGGAAAGCCCGGTGGCTATAGGAAGCAGAAAGGCAAGCATTAATTGTAAACCTGAAACTTTTGTCCAAAATACAGGCAGTAAGATTGAACGTTGGTGCTTGTGTTGTCTCTTGATGTGACTGTAGTCTATAAAGAAAAAGCCGCAAGCAGCCTCAGTTGAATGGAGTCATCCACAGTCAAGACCGTGACTATGGGTACCTTCAGTGATTTCTTCAAACAGGGATCGGCACTTCACTGTGTTATATTTCAAACCAGAGGTACAAAGTGACCTTCAATTATCCTACTTTCTACATATTTTAGGCTGGACCTGTGTTTTCTTTGTTTTCTGTCATAACTTCTATGGTTAGGAATGCTGAAAAATCCTTCCCTTAATAAACATAATTACACTAGCAAAAATCTTAATGGACAACTCAGTAGTATCATAAAGTTGCTTTCTTTGGACACGTTATGCCATTTGCTCCAGTGATTTAAACTGTACCAGCAAAACAAGTCTTTGCCAGTGAAAGCTCCATTTCCATCATCAGAAGTTTCTTGTATTTTTAAGCATAGTTAATACTCAAGACTGCTGCACAGACGTAGTGCAGGATAAAGAGTCCCTAGTATAAAAATGAATGAGATCTGAAAAGTGGTGCAGGTGGATTATATGACTAGTTTACCTGCTTGTGTTTTTTATCAACAGTTGAACTTTTTAAATGACTTGGGTCTTGGTCTCTCACCTCTTTAACTCCTATTACATATCATGTATGGACTATAGTTGGATGATTCTTTCTAGACAAATTAAAAACAGACTCAGCGTATTACGAAACTTGAAAGACGTTTAGGATGTTCAGGAAATGTTGTCTCTATAATTAACTGTTTTTAGCAAAAGGAGGCTTTCATCTCGCATGCTATTGACCCAGTGTGGAACACTGCAGGTTTAGGATTCTTTTCACAAGTAGTTAAATGTCAAAAAATAATGCAAGATATTTTTGTTTCCTTTATCTCAAGAACCATGCCCACAAGCAATGTAATAAAAAAGTGATGGAGATTAGAACTCTTGTGATCGTAATAATGTATAGAGGTCTTTCTGTCACACTCTAAAAACATTTGGAGTCATTCAGGTGATGATTATCTGTCATGAAATAGTGTATTTGAAGAAGTTAGCTTCCTCTTCTGCGAAATGTAAATATCCACAAGCAAATTGCATTTCACTTGATAGTATTTGCTTAGCAGGGATTTCACCAGCGGCTGGTGTGTGGCACACTTCTTTCCCCTGAAAGCACGCAATATCCAGAGTCAGATATCCATGGGGTGAAGCAGCTGAGTTACTTAATGAAGGATAACTGCCTGAAATTAAATCTTGGCAAAATATAGGACATTGTGATCAGAAGGACGAAAATATCTGAGCCTTAGCTCCATTGATTCAAAGACTTGAGCTTTGTGTTTCTCTACCGCTAGCCTATCTTCTTCTGTTGTGGCTTCAGAGCATCCCGATGGCATTGGCCTCAAGCCACAGTCTGGAGACAATGATTCCTCCTGTGGGCTGAGACAGAACCTGGAGTTTTTTGTGCCACAAAACACAGGGTCACTGAGAATAACAGGGGAAATTTTGGAGGGTTGCAACCGATCATAGAATATCCACGGAGCAAAGCAGTTCCTCAAAAAAGATATAACGAAAGTGATCCCGAGGCCACACTGGCTCTATGTTCTCTTCTGAACAATATAGAACTTATCATAGTTTTGAAACACTTGACCTTCAGTATCCAAGGTTTCTCTCTACTTCAGAGAAAGCAGTTTGCTACCGCAGCAGAAGTCTATGAGAGTGGGGGAATGGGACAGTAGCTTTCTGAAGTTCAACCCATTTCTGGGAATCTTCTTCTTTGGGCACAGTACTGACTTTGTTCCACCTTGTTCAGAACAATATACAAGACATATGATGGTACCACAGCTTTTTTTCATAATACACCAAAAAAGAAAGAATGACTTTATAGACTGGGGATCAAAAATAGAGTCTTTCCGACTGCTTGTGTGTTTGCCATATATACTGCCTTGTTCTCAGGCAGTACAATACTAAATGTTATAAATAAATAGAATGGAGGAATAATGTATTTTATCTGAAAGGACTCACGTAGTTATCACCCGTATATAAAACATGATGAATGTTTGCAAGGTGAAAAGGTTAGCTGTGATCAGTCAGACAAGGCAACCGCACTTATTTCTGTTCTTTTTTGGATGAATGTATTTCTGTATCAAAATAAAAAGAGGATCAAATTAGCCATCAGGACTGTGACCTAGTCACATAAGAAGTATTTACATTGCTTGGACTGATCTATATTGTAAACTTTTGGGGGACAGAAAATATCCTTCTGTCAGTTGTTTGTGCAGCACCTCCCAGCACATCACAGGTGGGGTTTCTATACAATATAGCAATATAATCAAAGGCAATCTGCCCGGTAATAAAGTAGCAGAGGAGGGTAAGAGAAGCTATGTCCAGAGGACAGATAACTGGAGTACGGAATTTTAAACAATTAAAAATATTTCCTTTGTGTATTGCTTTCACCCAAAATGTATGTGTGTCTGTGTACTGCTTTATCTTTGTCTGGCTCGTAATTGTTTCTCTGTCACTGCTGTGATGATGAGTTCTTGAAACCTTGTTGCCCTGCTGTGTCACCAGCATCCCATCCCATAAAAAATAAACCTGCTCTTCTCGGGAGCGTGCACAAGCCTGAGCAATTAACATTTGCTTTTGGTGAGCATTTGTGCAAGTTAAATTTGGTTGCTTGAACGTTCATTCAGGAGGGACCTCTGAGCACTCAACTTACCTTGAGTAAATGGGGTAAATCTGTTTCTATCTATATCTAGCAGTATCTTCTTTTGTAGTAGATATTTATGAAATTAAAAACATACATTTTGCTGTAGTGTAAAAAGTTACTTGAGCCAGAATGTGCAGTTTCTCATACTGGAACTTGGAACACAGAACCACTATGGTATGTGAACAGGCCAAAATAAAAATACATTCCTTAAAAAGTCATAAGGCAATTAGTAAGTTGAATACAAGTTTGCCAGCTGCATAACTTTCAATAATTCTGTCAAATTAATAATTTGTAAGTGCATGTTTTCTGTATGGCTGGCATTTAAAGCTAGTTATACAACATGATAGTTAAGGTCCTGGTACCACACTCCCTCTTGTATCAACTTAGCTCATGTGGATTGTGCTGCAGGATCTTACATGAGCCCTAGGTTAGCGTAGGTGAACGTACTGAAGCATGGGATAGAAACCTCATAGCAGCAATGCCCAAGTGCGCCTGCTTGTTTTACTTTGAGCACAGTTACCAGTTGACTCAGGAGCAACATCATTTGATTGCACAATCTGTATGGCTTTGTAAAGCTGATCAATGCTAAGACCTTGTAATTTAAAATGTTCATCAATGATCACAGATTTAAGATGTAAGTTTTCTCCTCTAAGACTCTAGGCTTAGAGGTGAAAGGTCCTAGTTTTATATGCTTAGCTAGAGCTGCTAGTAGTCATCATATTGAGGAGACATTCATCTCCATAATTAATAGCCCTGTGTCTAGCACTGTGCTTGAGGGTCCAGAAGGGCACTGCAAATGTTGACTGCAGAGAAGACGTCCCCCTAAACTGCAGAGCAGCTGAGGAATGGCTGTTTGTAAACTATTCCTGCCCGCTGGGACGTGTGTTAACAGAGGAACCAGAGCATCTCCCAGCAGGCAGCTGGAAGAAGGTTGACCTAAGTATCCTCCTCTTACACAATGCTTGGTACCTGAAAGCCTGTGGGACTAACATAAGGGTATTCAGAGGACACCCAGAGTGAACAGCAGTGGCAAAGACATGATCATGGCATAGATAAGGCTGGGAATGACAAAGATCAGCTGTGTGCCTTTCTCACTGGCTACTGGTAGGAACACAAGTGAGAAGATATGCTGAGTGACAGATCCTTGAACTTTTTCCTCTCCTAGCTCATCCATTGCCTTTGTGCTCATACAACTGCCTCTCCCTGTGCAAAGAAATTCTAATATTTTCTTGCAAGAGCACCTTCTCAGTCAGAGAAGGGTGGCCTCTGTTGTCCTATGAGATCGTTGTAATGGTCTTAATCCCTTCCTTTGGATATTATGTGGTTAACCGTCTGAAATAACCTATATGCTAAGTATAAGCTTTCTTTTGTTCCTTTTTTGGGAGATTGGATAGGGCATTCATAATAGTAACAGCGGGTTTCCTTTAGTGTGAAAGAGTTGAAGAAAGGCACCTAACTACTTTTCTCCTATTGAAATGTTGCCCCTGAATTTTGAAGTAGTTTACCAGATTAGAAGACTGTAATTTCAGAACGTTAAGGGATTAAAGAGAAAGTTTCAAAATGGAGAAAACACATGGACAATACCTTAACATTGAGGGTTCCAGCTTTTAGAGGTACATTTAAGGCATTTCCCCTCTTCTATTATTAGCATAAATTATGACCAGAATATTATTTGTTTAGGAACTAACTGTGTACAAGGTCCATCTCTTCTTTATATCAGAAAAAGATCAGTAAGGACTGGACCTAGTCAGGCCCAGAAGAGAATTTAAATGTGAAATTTGTATGAAGCCATTATAAAGAAAATTATGCATAATAATGTACATACTCTTGATGAAGGCTGTGATTCAGCAAAACACTGAAATACACTGAAGATTAATCATGAGCATATGATTAATCTAAAAGCATATGATCTGTATAAAAGTTAGTACAAATATATAAATCCATTAATTTAAAAATAAAGTACCAATGCTGTGTGAAGCTGTTAATACAATTGTTTTGGTTGTGCATGTGTTTTCTTGACACTCCTGATATGCAAGAGCTTGATATAAAATGCAGATTCATCAATAGTGAAATGTTTTGCAAATTAATCCTTAGTGTGCTAAATTGCCTGCATTGGAAATAGAGAAGCAAAAATATATTGTTATTTGGGGAGAAAATTTAAAATTCAGTATGGTGCTTCATTACAAAATCCTCTTTAATTTACTTTTGGAAACAAGAGAAATATACTCAACTTTGAAATTAAGCCTTTTGCTGAACTTAGGACATTGTTTCAACATTTCAGTTTTTTTCTAGAGCTGCCGCAAAACCAAGGAATCAGTTATTCACACAGCTCTAATCATTTTGACATTTGTAGCAGACTTTTTTCGCTTCACATTTTCTGATATAAAGTCATATTTTTGAATCTCAGCAAATGTTTGTGTAATATTTGCATATGCGGATAGGTCCATTGAACCCCAAAGGGACTGGTTGCATAAGGATAAGTCACAGTAAGTTGTTCCTTTGCAGTCAGTGTAACCGCTGTTGTATTAAGCTGCTGCTCCATGTAAAACTATGGACCAGATTCTCAATTATTGTAAGCTATTCTTCAGAGAGTTCTCACTTTGAAAAATAAATAACAACAAAACCTGGATTACTGGCTGTACAGTAATTCTATTTGATGTTTGTATTTCAGAATCACAACCACTGCAGCTTGTATGATGGACTTGAGAAGATACCCATTAGATGAACAAAACTGTACTCTGGAAATAGAAAGCTGTACGTACATGAGAAAATGCATGTAAAACCTAGTTCAGATGCGGGGCAGTTTTCCTTTCATAGAACTGTGTAATATTTACACTGGTGTCTACCAACACTATGTGAATCATAGGATCATAGATCGTTTAGGTTGGAAAAGACCCTTAAGATCATCAAGTCCACCATTAACCTAGCACTGCCAGTCCACCACCAAACCATGTCCCTAAGTACCACATCTACATGTCTTTTAAATACCTCCAGGGATGGTGACTCAACCACTTCCCTGGGCAGCCTG